AAATAAAATAAAATAAAATAAATAAAAAATTATAAAAACAAAACAAAAAAAAAAAAAAAAATTTTTTACTATAAAAAAACCATACCATATTTCGTATTATACATTGGATAATCAGAAGATTTTTTTTTTTAAAAAAAGTTATTCAATAATTATATTAAGAACTTTGTATGTCAAAAAATTCACGATCTACGTTGGCAATATGATCATTTCATCATTTGATTAATAATAAAAATCAGGTTATTCTAACGTTATTATAATATTGTCACTCCATTTATAAGTATTAAATAGTGCGCCTCAACAAAAACAATAATCTGGACAGTAAAATTATCGCCAAGAAAATCATTATAGCCAAAATGTGTATAGTCATATAAAGTATGATTAATTCTAATTTTGCAAAAGTTTAACAATTAAATAGATTACACAAACACAGTCACACAGAGCAATTCTTTTTGGATTGGGATTTGGGAAACTCAGAAGCAATTAAAAATAGAATAGTAAATAAAATGAAAAGCTATACTTATTATATCCGACTGTATCCGATGTCACGTGATAAGCAAATTTATTGTTAAATGACAAGATTACAGATAAGATAAAACACTAATAAAACCTAATTGAAACAAATATATTATTATTTATAAAAGTTAGGTTTCATTACTTTCTTGTTTACATATCGTATACACGGTAACTATGCACAATTGGTTGGTAAAATAATATATCCAAATATTATATAAGTATTTTTTATGAGAGATTTCCTATTTTGATCAACATACTTTGATCTTTATACTACAGAATTCAATTCATTTATTGTCACGGGGTATCTTATGTATGTTTCACAACAATAATTCTCATGTATTTAATTTTGTCTGTCTTGAGAAGAGTATTCATTGTGATTTTAATTGATTTTAATTGAAATTGTAGATCGTTTAGAACGTGATAATCTAATATGATTTAGTATGTGATTTCATTCCCAAAAGTTCCCAAAGACTGTGAAAATGATGAATTTTGACGATTTCTCCGACTTTTTTCCTAAATTTTACTTAAACTTTATTTAAACTTTACCTAAACTTTTTCCCAAACTTTTCCCAAACTTTTCCTAAACATTCCTAAACTTTTTTCCAAGTTTCAAGTTTTTATTTATTTATATAAACATGAAAAATTGAGTTTCAAAGTAGTTCCTAATTTAGAATATTTCGTTGTGGAAAAAAAATAAAAAATTCTTGGCATATTTTTAAAAAATTTATTATTTAAAAGGATAAAATTTCTGTTTTGGTTTTATTTTTTTTTTTACTACAATCTTGTAAAGGTAAAAAGTTTAATAATAAAAAAAAAAATCACTATGATCTATAAATTAAAGAGATTTTCATTCAAAAAAAAAAACAATTTGTAACCAAGGAGTTGTTAATTAATGCCATTTTAAATGAAACATAAAAAGACGTGCCAAATTGAGGCATGGAATTTACCTGTCATATGGTAATTCCCATTTTTCTTAAAAAAGCTGAGATTTTTTATCCTTTTTCCAGATTTGTAAACATCCGAAATTCAACACCGGATTTTAATCTAATTGGAAAATCCTAATTCATGGAATAACTCTGTACATTTATAAAGCGATATTATTATGCCCAATCGGTTTTTTTTTGTCTTTTTTTTTTTTATATAGTTAAATCCGATCAAAATCTGGCTTACCAAACCATTACCATGTGGTTTCCTGCGATGAATAATATTGTATGTATGAGATTATTTTGCACCAGTTTGAGATCATATCAATCATCAAACTTGGATCCGGTCCCAATCCAAATCCGACTTGGCCAAGTCAATCCCTAGAGCCAGATTTAGGAAATGCAAATTTTTTAATTTCGGTAAATTTTTTTAATTATTTTAATTAAAAAATTAAAAAAATTAATTCACTCGGTAGTAAGGGACAGTTTGGGTGAAATTACTTGTATTTACCAAAATTATTGGGATTCTTTGGGCACTTTTTCAATATATCTATTTCAAGTTACGATATTACCTATTCAGAGTTTATTAATAGAGGTTATTTAAATATTTTAAATGTTTATCTCTCTTATGACTTATTATAATATTATCAGCATTATAATATATATTTTACCTCTTTAATTTTTAAAGATTTTTCTCATTTTATTCAACTCAACTTACTTTCGTTAAAAAAAGATTGTCATTTTTAACGATCCTCGGTCCTTATAAATTCCATTCCGTTCTCGGACCGACCAAGGGGGCCGATAAAATCGTGTTTTTTGTTAATTATTTCTATAAATAAATTCCAAGTACTAATTTTCAATCTCTTTTTTTTTAGAAAAAATAAATTTGTATGATTTGTTATTTATAAATTTGATCGCCGTGTAATTATTTTTGAAACAAGACACATTTAACGTTTGAGTTTGATGCAAAAGGTTAATCTTTCGTGCTGCTAATTAAAAAAAAAAAAAAAAGAAAGAAAGAAAGAAAAACCCGAGACGAATTAATAAATAATCGTCAAGAGTAACATTAAATATCTGGTTCCCACTAAAATTTCCCACTAAAATAACCCAAGCAAGAAATATCTAATTTCTCAAACAACCCCAATAGTACCCCCCACAAATAAAAAGAAAAATTAAAATGAAAGACAGGCGTCAAGAATTATTCTTAATTTCTAAAATAACCACGACTATAAAGAGATCTCTTCTTCACTTTATAAGTATCAACTAATCCAATCGATTCATTTTCTGGATTATTTTCACCTTCTCTTAATTGAGTAAATCGAGAATTGAATCCTATAGCATCTCTTAATTTGTTGAATTGTTGAAAGGAAACTGATTGAGGTTCTTTATTAACATACCAAGTAACACCTTCAGTACAAGGTGGGGTAGTTAAACTACCTGAATAAGTAAAAGATTTAGTAATACCATCAACGTCCTTCAACAATTTTTTGAGTTCAACTTTGTCAAGCTTCGTTGAATTACCAGCTTTTTCAGGTAAATTGTTAACAATAGGAGCCATAAAAGCTGAAGCTTTTTCACCAACGTTATAAAGTACAGCAACAACGCTAATTTTTTCACTTTCACTTTTAAATACTAAATGTTGTTCAACTTCAAAATGACGACCTCCAATTCTATGTTCTGAAGGAGTATGAAAATGAAATTGTTGTAATTCATATTTTTCCCCATCAATTGTTATTTCTGCAGGTAAAGGAACTTCTTCTTTTCCTGAAGAGATTTCAACCGTATTACCATTATGTATTGATTCAACGTCACAGGCATCATCAAATTTTGGGGATGGTGGTTCAGCTAAAGTTTTTAAATCATCTGGAGTAATATCGATTGGAGATTGTTTTGTTCCCGTCTCACAAATTGCGCTTTCAGCGCTAAGTTTATGCCAAAAATCTGGTCCTAAACTACCGACATAACCAAATTCTATTTTTTCAGTAGCGTGATTAATATCAGAAAGGAAAAGGGTGACAAATAAAACAACACTGATTAAATATGTTGATTTCATTTTTGATACGAGAATTCAAGGGAAAAAGTAAAATAAGATTAAAGAGATTATAAATTATATGTATATTATATATATATATATATAAGAATAGAGAGCCAGCTAACTATTCTAAAATAAAATTATAAAGGGAGAGAGGAGTGAGAAGGGGAGGATGAATAAATTGACGCCGGTCAATTATAAAAGAAAGTAGAATTTTTTTTTTGATGGGGAAAAAAAAAGGGAATCTTTGGCACATATTTATATGTTTATCCAACAATAATAAGTTCTTGTAAACTATATATATATGTATGTATATATTATAGTACTAATAAATGATATAATGAATGAAAATTTCAATATTATTTATGTAACTTAAGTACGTTTTGAATGTAACTTATTTATGTATTATTATTCCTTTATCCGACCACAAAAAATTATGCAACCACTCAATTTTCTTTGTTTGATCGTGATGTGCTAATCTATAATTGCAAATTTTTTTAAAAATCCTCCGAATAAAACAAGGTAATCTCTCACAATTCTGGTAAATCAAATATTTATAATATAAATTAATATAAATTTACTGCGCAAAACATGTCAATGATAGAAAAATCTAAAAAGAAACTTCAATCTCAATCACATAATATAAAATATATTGTTGTTTGCCCTTTTTTTTATACATGAACTTTATTCTTATACTTGTTCGCTATTTCCGTTTTTTTTTTTAATTTTCCCCTTTTTTGTTTCTGGAATTTCTAGAAATTAAAATATATATTTATTATATGTTATACATATTTTCGGTAACATCCACCGGTTTTATTTTAATATAGGGTTCTGAGTTCTGACGCAGGGATAATTTAGATTAATTGTTAGAAAATTTTTTTATCGTTTTTTTTTTATTTTTGTTAAATTATTGTATGACCCGAAATACTTTATCATCGGTTCGGCAAATTTTCCTTATCTTTACGAAGATATCCTATTAGCTATAATTAGATTAATAGTTGTTAATTAATTTTGTAATTAACGTTTAAATTAATGATAATTATGAAGGTCAAAGGACGTCAATTTATTTTATTTTATTTTATTTTTTTTTTCTCGGGATTGTTTTAATTTTGTAATTATTAATGTTCGATTTTTTTGTTAAATAAATTGAAAATCTCTGATCGAATTAGACAATTCAATAAAAAAAAAATTTATAAAAAAAAATGCAATTAATAATGAAAAATAATTGATTGTTTAGACCCTTTTTTTAAAAAAAAAATATTTTTTTTTTTTTTTTTTTTTTTTTTTTTTATCACATTCTCAGAATTCATGCTCTTTTGACATAGAAAATGTTTTTTTTTGAAACATAATGTCTTTAAGCCAACAAATGCATTTCATTTCGATCAAAAATATTGTACTTAAAATACTTAAAATAAAAATATATATATATATATATATATAAATAAATGATTTTCCTATAAATGAATTCTTTTCATCTTTATAGGTTAAAGAAGATCAACGAAAACTAATCGTCATTATTTTTATTCAACAATAAAATAATGATCTTAAAATAATATACTTTTATATATTTTTATTAAAAATTGATTATAATAATTAATATGTAATACATAATTGTCATTTATATTTATAATATATGCTATGTATGCTTAAATTAATGTTTTTTTTTGTTACAAATTTTATATATTTTTTCCTTCAATTTTTTTTATTTTTTTTTCATATGTTATGGTTCATATTTTTTAATTGTTTATGATGTTGACGCAATTTACATGTATTAATCATATTAATCATGTAACGTAACATTGACTCGAATTTCTCACAACCAATGTAAATCTCTATGACATATTTGATAAGTAAATTGTGTTTTTTGAAATTTTTTTAAAAAAAATTTAATTCGCATTATAAATAAACTTCTCCACGTGTTAATCTATCCTCCATTATTATCTTAACGTCTTCTAGACCACAATACTGTACACGCGTGAATGGTCTTAATAAATGCGCATGTTATTATGTTAATTAGTAGATTATGGTGTTTTTTTCACAAATGATTTGACGATTTGACGGTGTAGATACAATTCAAACAAATATCACAAAAAAGGCAATTTTTATGATAAATTTCTGAGGTAATTTGATTGGTCAGATCTGCATTTATTTGTGTGACAAAAAAATAACTATTGGTACAAAAACATTTGATCTAAACATTTTCATACGTTAAAAAATAAACATACACAATTTTTAAAATAATAATAGTTTTCGTAAGAAAATAATGTTCAATTTTATAATAAACTCCGTGAATACTTTCTGAAATGGATTCCACCAAAATAATAAAAAGAAAAGTGATATTTTTCAATAAATTTTTTTATCATTTCTCGCTATAAAATAATTTTTTTTTTTTCGTACCCAAATGTCCAACATAATATTATATATAATATAATAATACTTTTGATTCTCTTGATCTATTATTACTATTATGGCTTATAGGTTAATATCAAAAAGTGTTTTTTAATTAATAAATTTATTTTGTAAGTAGAAATTTTAATAATGTACAACATAATTTAAACTAGAGTGGGGAGTATGAATTATTTGATAAATATTAAGATTGTAAAGAGACTTAAAGACGGTGTTATAATTGAAAATTTCACTGTCCTGTTAGTTCTTCATCAATACGTGCCATTTTTTGATTATTTTCCGTTGTTGTTCCAATTGTATTATTTATTACATTATTAACATCACCAACACTAGAGTTTACGGGAACCTCTAAATTAAATAATAATTCATCTTGTATAGAATTACCTGATGCAGGAGAACCAGTAATATCTCCTACACCATCAGTTATTAAATGTTGCGACGATAAGGAAGAACTTGAATCTACATGACGTATTCCTACTCCTAATTCATTAGGATATGAAGAATAATCCCTAATAATAATATTGTCCGTTGGTATCATGCCCATCTCTGTTCCTTTTTTGAGGTTCCCTCCAGATATAATACTTGGATTTTTAGTTTGAAGTATTCGTGTAGATTGAGTCATAAATTCTCCCTGTTTATCTGATGTAACATTTTCCGAAAGTCTTGATGGTACAATAGGTGGATGTGTAGTGGATTTACTTATGGATGACAATGTTGAAGAAGAAGAAACTGACCCACTTAATGTACCATGTGTAAGACCACTTTGAGGTTCTAATTGTTGTGGGCCGGATTGTAATGTTATAGAAGTAATAGAATCCGAAAGACTATTATGTGATTCTTTACTTTTTTGAAATCGAGATAATTGTTGTAATTGCTGTTCGCATTTTTAAATTAATGAAAAGAATTTTAGATTATTTTATAATATAATCTTATTAAATTAATTAATAATAATACCTTTGACTTATATATAGAACTGGATATGATATCCCCTAGATTTTCCGAGTCATCCGATCCTGTTGGACTTTTGTTAAACATCTTTAACGGCTCTCGGGAATCAACGAAACGGACGAATGCGCTCACGTCATCGTCTGGATCAAGCGAAGCAAAGAAGGACTGAAAATAAATCATACAATATAATAATTTAGTTTCCAACAGTTTCAATTATATGTATAATCAAAAAAAAAAAAATTGAATAAATAAGCGACTAACTGAATTAAAGGATCCACCAGACCCGTCACTCCTGTTCGTTAAAGATCTTTTTCGACTACTAACACTTTCCCTTCCACTTTCTTTCCCATTAGATCTTTCATGTCGATTGCCGAAACTCGAGTAAAATTTCGTCGTTAAACTTCCAGCTGATGAATTCGATTTAACCGAAGATGAAAGTGTAGCACCACCACTTAACGGTCTTGATGATCGTTGCTGTAAAGAAAGTGAAGATGGTGACCTATGTAATGGCGAAGAACGTTCAGAGAATGTTGGAGATGGAAGATTATCTTGAGAAGGTGAAGAAGAAAGGGATGGTGATTTAAAAGGTTGAACCAATGTTACATTTGGACGTGATGATGAAAGATTATCATATCGCTAAAATGATAAAAGACGATATTAATTCAAGAAAAACGCGTAAAAATAAAAATACAACATATAATAAATACCCCACTACGTTGATTCTCAAGAGATCGTCTCGAATCATATGATCTTAAAGGTAGAATTGGCGCAGTAATGTTTGGTGCCTGAATTTTTGGAAAGGAAAGTTCTGTATTTACATCTGGATTTGATTGTGGGGTACCACTTAATAATGGATTGTTATATTGTGGTGAATGTGGAAAAAGGTATCCGGAAGGTGGAGTCTTATGAATATGTAAATAATTCATCAATTAATATTTAATTATAAAATAAAATGTAATAAAATAATTAAAATTTTTAAAGACAAACATTCATCCTTGTTGGTACACTTTTTCGTCTTTCTTCTTTTTGCTTTCTTTGCTCTTGTTCTTGATAATATTTTACTACCGTAGGAGTAAAAAATTGTTCATCGAAATCTACCATAAAATTAGCACTAATCATTTCTTCTTCAGATTCATCGATATAGAATTCACAATTTGTTCGATATTTCGCTTTCAGAGACAGCGATCTATATAATATTAATGATATCAATAATATAATTCCTAATTTATTTTATAAAAAGCGCTAAATAAATTATCAACTTTACCCTAAAGGAGTATCGATTGGACCAAATGTAAATTGAGAAGAAACGTTTGTTTCACCCTCTATTATAGGCACGTCTAAAAAATATAAAATTTATTAAATCAATATAAGCTCTGAAAAGGAAATCAAACTGAAATGTTTAAATCGTAACTTCTTCTAATAAAGATTACCAATTCCGATATCATCTATGTAGTCAGTGTTGGGCAGCACGAATCGATATCCAATTTTTAAATCATGATTTAATTTCGCTTTTATTCTTTTAAATAATCGAAAAGCCGGAAGTAATCGAACATAAGCATATAAAGAACGAAAAAATGCTATTGATTTCTTATAAACAACAGGAAGGTCAGGTGGTGGATCCGTTGATGGATGGCTAATATTATGCATTAAGAAATATATTTAATATAAAACTTCATGAAAAAAAATTTGTGTAATTCAATCAAAAATTTTAATTACCTTAACGTTAATTGCCAACTTTCTAATAAAATATTTTTTGTTTTACCATCTTCATTTGAATCATGAACATCTACTTTACGCCTTCTTATCTCATCAGTTATAACAAGTATTTTATTTTTTGGTAATTCAGATGTGTCCAAAAAGAATTCTATAGTCATTGGATCTGGTGGTAACCCTGTAGATGTTGCAGTATGTCGCCAATATTTTAGATCTTCTTTATAAACATCATCTGAATCCCATATTTCTAAATTAAACTAGGTGAAAAAATGAAAAAAAAGATATAAGTTTTTTTGAATTCTCTATCAAGTAATGATGTAAAGTTCAATTGATTTAATTTCATCATTTTAAATTTAATTGAACCCATTAACATCGATCTTTCGTTTCAACTATTATTTATCCTCTTATAGAACTCAAAAGACGTGAAAATTCCGTTATAAATTTATTTAATTAAAAACCATACCCATTTATTGGGCCTCTTTGACGCTTGTCGTGGATTTAATGTTAAATTGGTATTAAGTGGAATATTTCCGCTGCTTAGACTATCATATTGTATAAGACGCGCCTGAGTAATTATTTGAGCAACTTTGGTATAAAAATTCTACAAATAAAAAATACCAAATTTAAGTTAAAATCATTAATTACATTGTCTTCAAAAAGTACATCAGACAAACCTGTACGATTTGGTCTGCTTTTGATTGCCGCGGGTAATAAGGTGGAGCAGGAGGGAGTGAAGCTTGTGAAGGAGTTCTGCGCATGTCATGCGGCATCAAGTATTCTTTTGGGATATTATATCAAAAAAAAAAAAAAAAAAAAATATTGAAGAAACGACTGAAGCTAAAAATATATTTTTTCTATCTTACAGCGAGATATCCATTTAGAATTTAGTGAATATCTTAGTTTATTATTATTTTAACAAGATGTTATTCCTAATATAAACAAAAAGAAAAAGTACTGAAAATTTCGTTGAAAGGACGGTTTTTCGACCGTATATTTTAATATATGAAAAAGAACAAACAATGAAATTTGTTTACTTTCCGAGAGAGTTTAGTTAAATACTACACTAATTTCCTTTTTAGCACTTCTGTTACCACTAAAAACTAGTAGTCATCCCCGATGCAAGCTGAAACTCATGCAACCAAAAAAAAAAACCATAAACGGGTGACTAAAAGAAACATATATCTTTTTTACGTTGATTGATCTCTTATCATTTAATCCTAATTATATTCTTTTTTCAGGTCTAATCTTCATTATTTGGTGTACATAATTAAATATTGAAAGAAAACTATTATAAATAATACATACAGGAAATATAATAATTGGGATTGTACTTTGTTTTCTCGTCAATTAACGTATAAATCAAAAGAGAAAGTACAAAAAAAGAATACTATTTTCCAGAGAAAAGGTATTTATATATTTATTGCATGGGTCAGCACGTCACACCATGAAATACCAGAATCAACACGCCATAAGTCTTTAGGGCAAAAAAAAACAAAAAAACATTATTAAATTAGCCAATAGATTCCCTGCGGATTTTCATAAATACTTTTTTACCGCGTATGTATATATGCGCGCAAAAAAACTTTCAGCCATTATCCGGAAATATACCTCCAGCTGCGTTCAATAACCACACTCGCAGTCATAAAATAAAATTTTGGGGATGTTATTACCAAAAAAAAGTTGCTAAGATAATTTTGGCATATGCCTGGGATCAGCTGAATCATTAAAGGTTTCCACGCGAACATCCGAACATCCACGAGATCATACTAAGAAGGAAAGTTTAAGTTGACCTTATTAATCCTAAATTCCCTAATATAGTCTGAAATTTTGTTTATTTGATTGATCGACAATATACTGTACAATTCCAATAGGTAAAACCATACAAAATATTTTAATTCTTACTGAACTACTGAACTTAAGGAATTTATCCAATGTATTATTGCACACAGCTGACATCTTTATATGATATTTGTAGCGCTCATCTTTTAAGGGGTTAATGAGAAAAAAACAAGGAAGGAGTATAAGGCACTCACAGTTAAAAGTGTATTAGTTCAATTGTTCGGCAAAACTGGTTAGTTAATTGATTAATAATCAACTTTGCCATAATACTATTTATATTATTCGGATAAAATAATGGAATTTAGGTAAAGAATTTATCTTTTCTTTTTTTTTCTTTCCTTTCAAAATTAAACGTAATATGTCGTGATTGGTTAATATCTTAGTAGTACTGATAATTCCGCGCGAAAAAACTTGTTTAAATTATATTATTAAATTAAATAGATTAATAATAATAATTTATAGAGAAATGTATGACAACCTATTTTTAGGTCGGAAAATAAACATCCCGATTGTAATAGATAAATTTTGCCGACCCGGTAAATAAAACATTACGTAAATCCGATTGCGCGGATCCAAGTTTTAGTATATAAATAGATTCAAATTTTTCAGCTTTCCTTTTTTATTATTTTTCTCCTAATTATCTTTAATTTAATTTTCATAGAAAAAACTTTTGTATCGAATTGATTATACTTAATATATTAAAAGAATCTACATATTTAATCCCTTTCATACCGTTTTTAATTAAAATGGCTAGTGTATCTTCTGCCTCATCAATTGTTATTCCACCTGCACCGTCAGTATATTTTACCTTCATTTTTCTATTTTATATATATATATATACAAAATACTAACTTTTTTTTTGTTGTAATTAGTTCTCCTTATATTAGGTTCGCATCGCTAAGACATTGGTATTCACGCTCAGAACAAACATCTGAAGCAGCCGAAGCACGTTTATTATCACGTTTAGCATATTTTACATTAGGAGGTAAAACATTAGGTACACCAGCTGATTCAAAAACAACAGCAAAAGTAGGATTGGTCGATTTAGATGGTGATGGAATAAGAAAGATTAATACATTAGTTATAGATCAAAAAGGTAACGACTTTGCAATCGACAATGGATCAATTTCATCCTTACTCTCTTCATCAAAAACTGACTCGCATACAACAAGTGAAGAACAACAACTTGGATTTACTCATGTACCACAAACTGATTTGAAAGTGCAATCAAACACGACTACAGTAAACGAAAGTAAAAATTCTTCGATAAAGAATTTAGTCATGTGTCATGGTTTTGGAGCGGGACTTGGATTTTTTTATAGAAATTATCATGGATTAAGTCAAGTACCGGGATGGAGAATATATAGTATAGATTGGTTGGGTATGGGTAGAAGTTCTCGACCAAAATTCATTATAAAAGAAAAAGAAGTTGATAAATATGTTGAGGAAACCGAAAAATTTTTTGTTGATTCTTTAGAAAAATGGAGAGAAATTCATCAAATTGATAAAATGACCTTATTGGGACATAGTTTAGGTGGTTATTTAGCAGCAGTTTATGCTTTAAAATATCCTAAACATGTAGAAAGACTTATATTGGTTTCACCAGTTGGTATACCAAGAAATCCACAAAATGATCCAGAATTTTATAATTCTGATGGTCGCGGTGTAAGACAAATTCCTGGATGGGTATCACGACTATGGAATGCACATTTCACTCCACAATTAATATTACGTTGTTTAGGTCCATTTGGGCCATCTCTTGTATCAAAATATACAACGAGGAGATTTTCACATCTTGAGGAAGTAGATCAATTAGATTTACATGATTACATTTACCATATTTCCACAGCTACAGGTAGTGGGGAATATTCCGTCACAAGATTACTTGAACCCGGTGCTTACGCTCGTAATCCATTAATTGATAGATTACATGAGATTAAAATGCCTACTACATTTTTATACGGTGAACATGACTGGATGGACTTTCGTGCTGCCGAAAAGGCTAAAAAATTAATGAATGTACCTGTTAGAATTGAAAGAATACCAGATGCTGGACATCATCTTTATCTTGACAATCCTATTGATTTTAATAGAGCTGTTATTGAAGAAATGCTTGAAGTGTCTAATATTAGCAAGCTAAATTATTTATCATTATAGAGATTATAGAGTTTATTAATTCTTTTTTTTTTTTATTTTTTTTTTGTGTATTTAATAATACGAATGAACAAATGAATAGTCTTTTTTTAATAAAAATAAAATTTTATTTAAAGCTTTTAGCAATTTCTATCATTCTATTTTTTTTTCTTTACATAAAGAAACCACTATTATTAATAATAAACTTACCTACACTATTAACTAAAATAAACAAAATTTTAATCAATGTTTTTTTAAATAAATATTCGTAGTCAATAGACTTACCTCTATTTAAATATTATTTTATTTATTGAATACTAAATAATTTTAAGAAGAATTATTGATAAATTCCTTTTCCATTCACAATTTATCAATGACTGGTAGATTTCATTAAGAATTACCCTCAAATTACACTCTTTTTAATCGATATTCATATCATCAGATTGATTGAATGAAAAAAGTCCTGAAAATGCAGATTGTAATGCTCTTTCATGTAGAAATTTTGGAGAAAATCCACCCGCACGTAACTTGGTATTGGTCTCGGTATATCTTAATTTTAAAAAAGCAAGTTAAGGATAACTCTTTATATTAAATTGAGAATTTCTTTTTTTTTTTGTATTAAAGAAAAAGGATACGGATCATAATATTTGTCTTTAAGCGTATAATAACCAATGTCCAAATATTCAGACGCAATTGCATCAAATTCTTGTGAATCTTCCATAAAACTAGTAGATTCTAAATTACTGCTATACCATGAACTAAGATTGCTGTCTCCTGGTGAAGGATAATGTTGTTGTGGACTTTTATCTTCTTGACTACGTGAACTTTCTCGCATAGCCTTCTTTTCTGCTAAAATTGCAGCTGCAGATCCTTTAGATTTAGCCTACATGTATTTATCACATTAATTTATATATGTAGAATGCAAATATAATGCAAATATATAAAAGTGCTTTAAAATGTACCAGCTCTTCGATTAATTCAGCTTCCTCTCTTTCTTTTCGTTTCTTTTCCTCATCCAACTCTTTTTTATAACTTTCAAATTTCATACGTTTATCTATCTTTACTTTTTCACTAAAATAATTTGCCTTTTTAGCTTCTTCTTCTTGTTTACGCCTATTACGAGCTATAATGTCTCTATTTTCATTAAGATGCTTATTCATCAAAGCTTCTGTTTCTTTTTTGTCCTTATCATTAATAAGATTCCATGCTAAAGTATAGTTCAAAAGCACACTAGTTAAGAAATAACTATACATATTTATTTTTTAAGAAAAAAGAACCCTAGTGAAATATACCTATTTCTTCAACCATTTCCAAATAATCATTATACAAACGTAAACTTTCGAAATCTTCTTGACGTTGATTATACCTATTATATGTAAGTTTTAGTCTAATAATTATACTTGCAACGAATAATACATTTTATAAAAAAATAGTTTCTTACTGTTTTGATAACATTCTCCTAACCTTTACTTCTTTTTCGACACGTAAATCTTCAAATGTAGGTTCAATAAAGCTGACTTTTCTTAAGATTTTTTGACAAATTGGACATGGTCCTGCCCCATTTGCAAATAATCTATCTATGCATGATTCGCACCTATTAAGTAATGTACATTAACTTTCATTTTTTAAGAAAAATTAGTAAAAATATATGATCATACGTACATTTTATGATAACAATCACTAACAAGCAGTTTCATGTTAGGTGTTAGGTACCTATTATTCTTACATATTGGACAAACTTCATCTGCGTCAAATGAATATTTCGCATTTTTTGAAGAAGCCATAATATTTTTATCAACGAAAAAAAATTAGAATAATGGACAGCTATATCGTTTAGTTCATTCTGATCTATCCTTTGATTGGTCATATTTTTAATGCATTTATTATTTATTATGGTAAACTTCTAGTAATAGTGGTACACGAGTTGCGTGATGTTGAATCAACATCGGTGATTATCAACAAAAAAAATGTCTCTACATATTCGTTCTAAACAATTATTTATACAACCAAATTTTATTTATTTAAATAATTCTTTATCAAATCTTAAGTCTTTTCGTTTCATAGAATTTATTAATTTGGTGAGTTCAAAAAAAAAGAATAAATAACTAATTTTCATATTTCTAAGTATAAAAAAAAATTTATCCAAGTCCAAATTCTTTTTATATAGAAACATCCACAAATAAGGGAATATGCTTCAAAATCAAAGAGAAGAAAAAAAGAAAAAATCATGCCTTCAACAGCTCTTCCTTTAGTTGATGCGCTTGATATACTTAAGGTATAATAAGTTTTGTATATTATGTCACGTATACAAGTTATTTTAACTTTTCAATATGAATAGGCATATGAAATAACTTACCCGAATAGAACTTTAGAATTACACGTGAAAACCAGGCTAGAAAAAGGAAATTCGCCAGTCCGTGGTTCCGTGTCTTTACCAAAACCAATATCTAAAAAAGTAGCATGGCTGGTTTTTGCAAAGGTAACATTTTTATTTTATGAAATTTGCCTTTTCCTTATTTTTCTATGGAATTGACCAATACTAATTTCGTAAAGTAATAATAAATTTTTTAATTTATGTAATTTATTTATTTTATTTTAATAGGGGAAGAATGCGGAAGAGGCCAAAGCTGCTGGAGCACATACTGTTGGTGCAGAAGAATTAATCGCAGAGGTATAATATAAGCAAATAATTTTTCTCCAACCATATTTGAAACCTAATATCTGTATTTTAAACAGATAGCAGAAGGAAATTTTAGTGTTGGAAATTTTGATAAATGTTTATCAACAACAGAATTATATCCTTTAGTAACAAAAATTGCAAGAATTTTAGGACCAAAAATGTTAATGCCTATGGTGAAAAGAGGTACTGTTACTGATGATATTGTTGAAACTATAAAGAGAATGGATGATAAACTTGGTTTTAATAGTGATAAACTTGGTTGGATTCATACTGGTAAGTTAAAACTTATCTCATTATAAGAAAGATGTTTTAAATTAATAAATTTTTTTTCATAGGAATTGGGAAAATTTCTTGGACAACTAAGGAAATACAAGGTATTTTTTCCTCTATTTCGTGTTTAATAAAATATAATTTAAATTAAGCTATTTATTATTAATGCAGGTAATATTCAAGCTATCCTGAAAGAGATAAATGAACTTGGCAAAGGTCAAGATTCTAATAAAAAAGGTATGCTATATATGTGTGTGTAGAAATGTTTTTTACGATATATATTTAACTAAACTTTTTTTTAAGCTGCGTTTATTGAAAAAATTGCAATAAATCCGAATATGGGAGAATCAATTCATTTACTTGATTTTAAAAATCTCTTAGATTTCCCATCAGTTACAATTAAGTAATACTGTATAACAATGGACTACTCTAATTATTATACACAGGCTAGTTTATAAATAAATGTATAAACATTCAAATAAGTGGAAATTTTTATTATATAAATTACAATTTTTTTTTTTTTGCATTTAATAAAGAATACCATTAAATACAGTAGTTTTTAGTGTCTTTTGTGGGAAAAACCCCAAATAAAAAGAATAACGATACACAAAGTTCTAAAAAGTTAATTCTTGCTTTTCCTATCATATTAAGAGGTTACTACTTTTGTTTTCTCGAATTCTTCAATGCTTAACTCTTTATCCTTGTCATTATTATTATTTACATTATCGTTGGAAGAAGGTAATAATCCTTTAATATCTTTACCACTTTCAGGATTACCTCCTTTATTAATAATTTCTATAAAATTTGACGGAAACATTCCTTGTTCACCATTTCTCAGTCTTCCTCTCCACCATTGTGAAGGATTTCCCCACAAATCGGTTTTACTTAATACAGCAATAATTTCGCCTTTGGTAAAACTTAATTCAACAGACGATTCGCCTTTAAAATCATAAAGAGCTCTGCAAAATTCGAAATTTTGTGGTGAAGAGTTTGTTTGAACTATCGGAGTAGTATTAATTTCATTATTATTGCCAGCGCTTTCAGGTGGAATACTACCATCTAATTGTCGTTGTTCTTGATGTCTTCTTGAAATAACTTGAATAAACTTGTGCATTAAATATGGGACACCAAATACAGCAAGTATGAAAAATAATATAGGACGACGGGAATATTTTGTATTTTCTTGATATTGTTGGAAATTACCAGGAGTTAATTCATTTGGATTAACTAAAGGTCTTTTTCCTGTAATTTTATACCATAGATGTCGTATCCATCTAATTAAAGCAAATACGCTCAGTACTTGTCCTAAATAATTGCGTAAATTGCCAAATTGCTCTACTACTCCAACCATTGCCATAAATGATGAATGTGTAGCAAAGAAAGTAGATTCTAACATTTGTGAGAATCCACCAAACGCTCCTACTACAGATTCTATCATATGAAAACCTGCTGCTGTACTTGCTTCCATTCTTTGTGTAAGTGACATATCCTCAGGACCTCCCGGAACTCCTGGGCCTCCCGGGCCTCCTCCTGGTCCCATCATTCCTCCATATCCAAACCGATTATATGGTGATCCATATGACCCATGTGAACCATATGAACCATATGAACCATATGAGCCATAGCCATATCGATTATACGGAGAATATGACGAATATGATGAGCCATAACGACTATATGGTGAACCATATCCTCCTCCGTATGAGCTATAATTTGAATATGGACTGTATCCTGAACCATATCCGCTGGCTGTACCATAATCTAAATTTGAATAAGAAATATTTAGTTTAAGCATATAAAGATTCAAAGTTAACAAAAGTTGTCAAAAAAAATTTACTTCTATTTGTGAAGCTTGAAGACATTGTGGAAGGTCTTGCAGGAACGGCAGGAGGTGCATCATTAGTCGACGTACTAGTTAAAGATGTTTGTTGTTGTGTTATATTCGTTAATGGTATTCCATTATTTGGAACTGTCGCAACTCTTGAAGCTGTTCCAGTTCTCTCCCATGGTTTTGGTGGAGAAGGCATTGCAAAAAAAAAAATTCAAGAAAGATGGCGTGAATTATTAATTATTATTTATTATGTAATGAATGCGACCAGTTTACTTTTAGGCTGGGCGGAATTACTGTTTCACGTGATAAGAATTTTAGATGCGCATATTTTAATTCGTGGCCGGAGCATGTGTTATTCACACGGATCGGCCTATTCATAACCATAATTAAGGGGTTTATCAATTAAGAAACATAGGAAACATAGTTCTTGAGTTCCTGTTGCTTAAAGGCCTTCGGTTGTTATTTTTATTTTTAAATTGATAAATCGTAAATAACTGAAATGGAGTATGAGGACGTTTTGACTAATCAGCCCGTTGTTATCGACAATGTATATGTCTATCACTTTTTTTAAGTATATTTTTTGCCATTTTGTATCTGTGTATTCAACTTAATGATTTTAGGGTTCTGGAGTCATTAAAGCTGGATTTGCTGGTGATGATAGCCCAAAATGTTTTTTTCCGTCATAGTAAATATTCCCTATTTTATTGTTTTGTATATTTTTGTCCTCTTTAAAGTTTATCTAATATTTTTGTACGAAAAAATAGTGTTGGACGACCTAAACATGTACGCATTATGGCTGGTGCAGTTGAAGGTGACGTCTTTATCGGCCGTAAAGCTCAAGAATTACGAGGTCTCCTTAAAATAAAATATCCTATTGAACATGGTATTGTATCTGACTGGGATGATATGGAACGTATATGGAAATATATTTATGAAGAAGAATTAAAAACTGCGTCCGAAGAGGTACGTGTTAAGAAACTTTTGATTTTGACATTTAAGATTCATATTCGAAATTAATTCATCTTTTTTAATAGCATCCAGTGCTCTTAACTGAAGCACCACTTAATCCTAGAAATAATAGAGAATTGGCTGCTCAGATGTTTTTTGAGACTTTTAATGTTCCCGCTTTATTCGCATCGATTCAAGCAGTATTGAGTCTGTTAGTAAAAGAATAATGAGTTGATCAATTAATTTGTATTATAAATATTATAGTTAAACTGTATTTAATCATTATTTGTTCATTTTCATTTTTAGTTATTCATCTGGTCGAACTACAGGTATCGTCCTTGATTCAGGTGATGGCGTTACTCACGCTGTACCAGTTTACGAGGGATTTGCCCTTCCTAACGCTATTCGTAGAGTTGATATCGCTGGCCGGTACTCTATTATTTATATTTAAAGCGTGTACATTATATTTAAGTATTTAAAATTATTTTAATAATTGTTTTAAAAAAATAGAGATGTCACCGAATATTTGCAGTTGCTTCTTCGTAAATCAGGTTATAAATTCACAACAACTGCTGAAAAGGAAGTCGTTCGTATTATTAAAGAGAAAACTTGCTATGTGGCAACAAATCCAGCCAAAGAAGAAAAAGATACGAACGGAAAATTCGATGACTTTACTTTACCTGATGGCAACGTTGTTAAGGTAGTTTAAAAAAAGCTTTTATGCTGTATTATTAAACTTTTTTTAAGGGATCTAATATTAATATAAATAATAGTTGGGTACTGAAAGATTTAAAGCTCCAGAAATTCTATTTAATCCTGAATTGATTGGACTTGAATATGCCGGTATTCATCAAGTTGTTGTCGATTCAATTAATCGTGTAGATTTAGATTTAAGAAAATCTTTGTATGCAAATGTTGTCTTGTCTGGTGGATCAACACTTTACAAAGGTAAAAAAATCCATACATCTTTTAATTTGTAAGTTTGAATAATATCTAAATTAACATTTATTTTCTATAGATTTCGGTACAAGGTTGTTGAATGAAGTAAGAAAATTGGCTGTTAAAGATATTAAAATTAAAATTTATGCACCGCCAGAAAGAAAATATAGTACATGGATTGGTGGTTCTATATTAGCAGGCTTGAGTTCATTTAAAAAGGTTTGTAATTTTCTATTTATTTAAAAAGCTTTTTTTTAAATATTAATAATTGAATTTATATTATTTCAATAGATGTGGGTTTCGGCTGAAGATTTCCAAGAAGATCCGGATATTATTCATAAGAAAAGTTTTTAATTTATTTAATATCATATCCATAACATCACATTTATACTCCTTTTTTGACCTTATTCATAAACACTCCACTGTAATATTTCATAGTTTTACATTCCTTTTCTAGTAATGGTTGAAATGATTTTGCGGAACAATCTAGTCAACCAAATAACATTTGGTCAGAATTATAATTATTATTAATTCTTTGGCCGAATTAATAAATAAGTTTTACCATAAATTACCGATTTTGTAAATTAAATAAAAAAAAAATTAAATTTTACTGTTCCGTATATGGCTATATTAGCCATATGCAGTGTTCTTACATAAGCAATATCGACCCGTGTTTTGTAATAAAAGCATGGTTTGTCATACAATCGAATAACTTTCTATTATCTGGGCTGATAGATACTTACTATTTTTGTAACGATTTAAAAAGTATGTTTCTGCTAAAAAAAAAAAAAAAATTGTAAATTCTTTTCAGAAATTTACAATTTAATTTATCAAAGAAATGAGCAGTCAAGGAAATACAACTAGTAATATTACGACAGAGAAAGATCGTCGTCTCGAAAATGCATCTTTTCCAGCAGTTAAACGAGACAGACTACCCACATTACAAGAAGTTCTTTCTCGTAAAACAGCTCCTCCAGTATGTTTATATAATTTTTACCTTTACATGAGAGACAGAGAAAAAGTTTCTGAATACTTGGATTTTTATCTCGATGTATTAGAACATGAGGTTTTATGTAAAGCTTATTTGAAAGACCTCAAAAAACTTGGATTGGATGTAGATGATGAGTATCCTGAATATGAAAGATATAGACCGGGAGGTAGTAAATCTGAGAAGGATAAATTAAGGCCTAGCGCGACCAATGTAGGTGTTCAAAGACATACGAGCTCTGCATCTCGTGGTTCTGATATTACAATCATTGATGATCCTCCTTCTCGCCCAGAATCACCATCAAGTTCACATATAATTGAGATTTCTAATGAAAATAAACAAAGACCTTTAACACATCGAGATTCTGTTCGCTCTAACAGAACCAATACGACAACAGGAAATTTTTCAATTTATAATCGGGAGAGACCATTTACAAGGGAGGACCTTCGTGAATCAGCAGAACGTATTTATTATAAATATATTTATGAAGGATCAGAAAAAGAAATTATATTATCAGACCATATTCGGGAAAAAATTTCTCACGCGATTGAAGAAGAAGGTGATGCTCAACATAAAAGAGCTGATCCTTGGATCTTTCACGAAGCAAAAAAAGAAATTTTTGCCTTTATGGAAAGAGTGCATTTCCCAAGGTTTTTAAAAGCCAGAGCATTTGGAAATATGCATGTTCGACAAATTACAATGAGATTGGCGATAGGTTTATTCTGTTTATTTATTGGTTTTGCTGTTGTGTTAAGTTTAATCTTTTTGGATAGAAAACCAAATACGTTACGGTTATGGGTACGTAATGTCTTAAATGGGTTTTAAATGTTTCATGACATATATTAATATGTCTTTTTTTTTATTATTAAACCCTTTTAGGGTTTTATCCCAATATTTTTTGGAATTAGTAATTTATTTGCTTATGCAACGAAGATTAGCCCTCTTTTCGTTTTATTGAAAATAAGGTAATAATGATAAATTTGATACATGAATTTTCTGTGTTCGGATTTTTTAAATTAATTATATAATTTATATTGTAGTGAAACAAAATTCTTTCATTTCCAACGTGTAAGGGAACCATACATATATACATTACATGTTAAAAAAGCCATTAAATACTTTTTATTAGGTTTATTAGTTTCTATAATTGTAATGGTAATTTTTGCAACTGTTCCGGGACATCGATTATAGACAATATCATAATAATAAATAGATTGAATAGAAATTCATAAAATTGGTATATGAATTTCAAAAGATGACAAAGAAAACAAAAGAATATTTAATTTATTTGGACGGTTGGGGAGATATGGGTTCAAAATCATGTATATTATTTTAGAAATTTTACTAATGATTATCACTGGTATTTTGATATTTGGTATCTGGTATTTTTAGATTTTCATATATTTGGTGGTGATCAACAGCATTTTGTAATAATATTTAAAATTTTGCTAAATAATTAATATTAGGAATAATAAAGGTTGTAACAAATATATGTTACAATAATTTGATGTATTATCAAATAGTTGCAAGTTATTATATAATCTACAAAAAAAAATATCTTCAAAGATGGAAACTTTGTACAAGTGTAGCAGAATGATTTTAATTTTGTTCATTATTAAGCTTCTTATTGAAGTTCATATATACTGTTAAAGATTCTCAACACCTTTTAATTCACTACTTCAAACTTTTGATTTTAGTAAAAAAAACACCAGTAATCTTTTGCAGAAGTAATGAAGATTAAATTTTGTTTCAAAACATAAGTATTTATAGAAAAAATAGTATTAAAAAATAAAAATTAATGAATATTTTTTTCAGAAGAAAATTAGTTAAAGTATTTTTTTATTTAATAAAAAAGTTATATTTAAAACCCAAAAAAAAAAAAGATTTATTTAAGACAATAGTTTATTTAATTTTATTTTAATTAGATAATTTAACAGATTTAAGATCTGTTAAATTATTTAGTTGACATTAAATTTGGCAAAAAATCAATATTTTATACTTAAAAACATTATTAAATTTAATATTTATAATTAAAAAAAATGGTTATTTTATTTAAAAAAAAATTTTTTTTTATTTTAATATATTGATTTAATTTAAAGTAAAATTTAGTTAATTAAATTATATATAATCAAATTAAATAATTTTTTTTTTCAATAAATTATATAAAGAAATGTAAAAACTTCAAAAATATATGAATAGTATGGATTATATTTATAAAAATAACTAAAAAAAGTTATTATAATATAAATTCAAACTATTAAATATATTAAAATTACAAGTATTATTAAAGAAAAAATTTTAAGAGATATTAATAAATACAACTATTATGTAATATAATCTTATATAATTTAAAGTAATATAAGAAATATATATATAGTATTATATAACTATTATATACTATATATTATAGGCTATAGTATTCTAAAGATCTTATAAATTTTAGAAGTTTAACTCTAAAATTTTTATTATTAATAAAGGGTATTTAAAATTTATAATGAAATAATTAGAGTATTATTATATATTATACTTAAAATATTTGTTGAATTATTTAAACAATAAAATTAATAAAAAATGTAACTTCTTTTTGAAGATATTATATAATATAAAGGATATTATAATTCATAATATATGAAATATATGATAATTATATAATTTAAAGTGTAATTTTATATAATTTAATAAAATATTGAAAAAAAAAAAATTAATATTAATATATAAATTTCAAAAAAAAAATGCTAAAAGAAATTAAATAAATTAGAGATTTTTTTAAAAAAAAATGGAATTTTGAAGAGTTTGAAAGATTTAAATAAAAATTGTTTAATTTAATATTAGCATTAAAAAATAATTCTAATATAAATTAATTCTAATGTAATATTAATAAATTAATATTAATATTAATATTTAGTTTAATATAAAATTAGTATTAATATTAAAAATAACTCATCATAAATATTTACTGTTCAAGTAAAGTATTTTAGAGGTTTATATTTATGATTATATAAAATATTATTACTATAATTAAATATTAATTTCTATAAAAATAAATAAAAAAAAGTATTAATATTAAAAAATTATTGCACTTTTCAAAATTCTGCTACTCTTCATATAAATTACCTAATAAAAAATTTATTAGATTATTAAATTATTAGAGATTATAACCAATAAGCATCTACTAATTTAAGTAATAATCGATAATTTGATTTTTATTACAAAAAATAATAAAATGCTATAATTTAAAAGAATATAATTTATAATAATTTTTAATTTAAAAAATTTTAGTAAAAAAAATTCAAAAAAATATAAATATTTTTCAATTTTACTAAAATTCAAAAAAATTAAATAATCAGTAAAATATTCAATTTAGAAAAATTATTGAATTTTATTATTATTATTACTAATATAAATTTATTATTGCAGTTTTCAAATTCTATATATATTGTGATTACTAAATGATTATTATTTAGAGAAAACTTTACTTTAAAAGATCTAAATATTTTATTAAATACAAAAAATTTTATTTTTAGTTAATATCCTCCTTAATTCTAGTAATTTAAGCTTAATTCTAATTAAAATTACAATGTATCTTCTTCATATAATATCTAGTATTTATAAAGTACTTATAGATATTATTCAATTTTTAAATTAAATAAATTTACAGTATTAGATGGTAATTATATAATAATATTTTTATAAATACATGTACTTTATTTAAGACTAACTATGTATATATATTTAAAAGATATATATTTAAAAAGGCAAGTTCTATTTGTACACGGGGTGTTTAAACACGGGTCATATTAGTAGATTAAAAATGGCATTCAAAACCTCCTTTAATGCCTTAAGTAAACTTGCAGAGCAGGTGAAAATACATATATTTATCTATAATATAATAAGAATAAAAAGTAAAAGAGTATAATGTCAGTAGCATTCAATTTCAAATTAAAAAAAAAAAATTAGTCTATTAAAAATTATATTTATATGATCTGTGTACAAACACCCTGTGTAAATTTAGAAATTTTCATTTAAAAAATAGCTAATAAAAAAATAGATAATTAAAAATTTTATAGAATTTTTAATTTAAAGTTTTTTTTATTTATTTAAATTCAAAATACTTTTATAAATATATTTTAAATAATAGGAACTAATATATTTTATAAACTTTTTAATGCTTAATATAAATTGTTTAATTTAAATAAATTTTTTTAAAAAAAATTAATAGTAATTAAATAACTATTACTAATTAATTAATAGTTATATAAATATATTTATAAAAAATATTCTAATTATATTTAAAATTTATAATTGCTTACATATATAAAATATAAGGTTGCTTGTTTAAATCTTTTCAAAATTTTATGATTAGTTTCTTTTAGATTTTACTATAATTTTATTATAATTTTAGCAAGATTTTGGCAGTTTTAGCATTTATAATAAGTTTTATTAAGGTTTACTTTTCTTTAAAGTTTTAATAACTTTTTAATAAGGCTTTTATATAGTTTTGGTAAAGTTTCGCTATTTCAGCATTTTACTAATTGCCAAAATCTTATAGTTTCTTCAGTAAGTCAATAATTTTAATAAAATATAAAGGAAATATATTTAGTCCTAAATTTCAAATTTATAATTAAAATATAAAGTATATATAAAAAAATATATATATTTATAAAGAAGGCATTTATGAAAATATTATTATATAATTATATATTTATTTGGGTTCTGGTACGAAATCTCAAAAATCACTTGCACGACTAATACAAGACCGACAACAAAATCCCAACAATCCAAAATCTCGACAATCCAAAATCCTGACATTCTAAAATCCTGACAGTCCAAAATCTCAACAGTCCAAAAATCTCAACAGATCATTATTTTATAAATATAATGATGTGTGTTCTATAATATCAAAAATATGACAAATTCGAAGTGTTATATATTAATAATTTGAATTCTATGACATACGAATTAAATAATGTTTGACAAAAAATATTTAATGACATATTTATTTAATAATTTAATAAAACATATGGGCCGATCCTTGGAATCTAATTTTTTTACACAAAAATAATTTTATTAAAGCAAATATAAATTATCATTTATATAAGAATAATAAATTTATACCAGATAATGCAAAAAAAACTAATTAATTATATAATTTTTAATTTTTTTTTAATATAAGATATCATTAAAATTTAAAAGATCAAATATAACTCTCATGACAAAATCATTGATAATTCTTCGTAGAAATAAGCTATACAAATAAATTTACATTCATTTGAAAGAGAAAATCGAGATC